TTTGGCAATCGAAAGTACACTGCCTGGAAGTGTCGCAGAAAAGCTGCAGCGATTCGCTGATTTTGCTTGAGAAATATATTCCTAGTTTTGAATCCAGGTTGTGAGGCACCTGCCATAAGACATGACTTCGGGATCGCACATGGACGAATTGAAGTCGGGTTCCAATATGAACAAGACATCACTAAGTTAAATGGGTGCCAGAAATGTCCTAGTTTAAATTCTCAGTTGCGCGTACACAACACGCAATGTACTTCAAAGCTAAATTTTGTATTCGTTGAGCCGCAGTTGAACAAAGAATAATTTCGAAGGCCACGTCACTTATTATGCGGCACCCCAAATTGTTTGGTGAAAGAGCTTTTTTAGTTTTGATGTTACGCGTCGTAGGTAAAACGTAGAAGTCTACGTTAGTTGATTTTGCGTTTACGCGGTCGCACATGGACACACTCTCACAAAATTTTAGCCTTCTAGCTTCTCCAACTGCTGAGTTAAAAGCTGGGGGACAAAATTGCACCATGCACACATACCTCCACACACGTGCTCCCAAGTACCCAAACAAACACACACGTGCACGTACACATATAACACATGCAGATACATAAAAGATATGTACAAATTCACCAATAATGAGTTTTTGATTTCTGCAGAAATACATCATAATACGAATTAAAGGGTCTGTCGCATTAGATCTGTGGTGTGGAGTTTTTTTTGCTCATCTTGGATACGCTACTGCATTATGAAAAGGGCGGACAAATGCCTTTTTTATTTGCAGAAGCCAGCAAGAAGTTTGCACCTGATGAAAACAGGTGATGGACATTACATCTGCAGTTGCACCCATATCGTCTTCCACACTTATCACGCTTAAAGACTTTCAGGTAAGCCCCTATTAAAGTTTTTAGCTGAAGCTCTTGAACTGATTCCAAATTAACCCCAATACGAAATCTTCAATACCGTTTGCTCAATCAGTATCGTATATTCGCTACCACTAAGGTGGAGCTACGCAGTGGTTTCAGTTCGAACTTCTGGTGGTCGCTCGTTAAAAAATCGACCACTTATGACCGAATAGCACAGATATTCAGCACAGTTTTCAGCGTTTAAGCTTACTCTTACCATTCCAGAACGAATTGCTTTGGGCATTGATAGTGGGAGTTATTTTGGCATTCATCTTGGGTCTTGGAATGGGAGCCAACGATGTGGCCAATGCGTTCGGTACTTCGGTCGGTAGTGGTGTTCTGTCTCTCAAGAATGCTTATATTCTGGCAACGATCTTTGAAACTCTCGGAGCACTTCTTGTCGGTTTGTTCTTCTACTTGTTCTTTGAAATTTACTCTTCTGTTCAATGCTATTTTAAACTGATTCACATTTACCTTGAAGCACAACGGTTTATTTTCATTGACCTTTCGCGATTTTATTTCTTTGGCTTCTAAATTACTTTATTTTCTTTAAGAAGTTTTCACTTACTTTACCATTTCAACCAGTAGGCATTCGAAAATTTTGCAATTCCCGTCCATTTTGAATTAAGAAAAAATTAAAATTGCAAGAAAATTGAAAAA